TTCTCTCCTACCCTTGTCTAAGTGTGATGGCTACAGTTCTTTGAGAGTGACGAAGTTGCATGATTTATACACTTTGGCGTGAGATGGTCCACAGGACCCATGCAAATTTTGGTATCGGAGCTGATACTCGCTGCACTCATGGGCGCTGGCATGATGAAGGCCGGCGAGAAGGAAGAATGAGTTGGCAATGAGGGATTAGTAGGAGGAGGGAGAAGAAGAGAAAAGAGAAGAAGGGAGGTTAGTAGGGAAGCAGGCTGAAGAAGAAGGGGCTAATGATTACTTACCTGGAGCTGCGCGACGAGGAGCTTCATCAAGGTCTTCAAGAAGAGTGAAGCACCTCTATCCCCTTGACCTGCATGCATGTGTGTGTCCCATACCTCTCTCTCTCCCTCTCTCCCACTCTGAAGGTGACTGCTGCTGCTGGACAGAAACTGGATCTGGGTCTGGACCACTATAGATTGAGTCAGAGTCTGGTGTCACAGACTGGTCCCAAAGAGTGTATGGTCAGAGTCTGATCTAAGTTGGGATGATCAAGGGACTATGATTAGAAGTCCTTGCTGCCTCTCTACCCTCTTGATAGGTATATTAGTGCCAGGTTATTGGAGGTTGGGAAGTCGTTGTGTATGATACATATCAGAGTGCGAAGAAGGGCAAGACAAGTACGCAGTTGTAAAAATAAAAATAAAAATCTTATCAAGGTATTATTGCCCTACTGGTGATGAGATACACCTGCATTTGATACTTTGCGCTCCAACTCTGGTCCTGCATTCCAACAATTAAAAACGTTAGTAAAGGCATACAGGAGGGAAAAGAAAAAAAGGCAGTCAACGAGATCCTGGTCCAGAGAAAGGAAGAAAGGAAGTACTAGACAGCAACTGGTCTGCATAAAAAAAGGACAATAGCAAGAAAAGAAAAAGAAATTCGTAATCAACTTCTGCAGACAGTGTACATAAATAGGTATTGATTATTTTTGTTGTTTGATTGTCGCAGCACCTTCAGATTCAAAAAAAAAAAAAAATCCGTGCATAGATTCTCCCATTGCCACAGACAAAGTTCAGGAAAGTACTGCTGGGGTAGTCACTTGGCAGGCCAGCGGAGGCTATCCCTGTGCTGTCCCCTGCCATGGACGATTACCCCATGCAGGGCCTATTGGCCCTGTCTGTCTTGTTGGGGCCCCTGTTCAGGGTATTTTTTCCGTTGGGATTCGGGAAGGTGTGTACCTCCCGCATGTTCATGAGATCAGGCTTTGAGAAGCCAGGCCCCACGCCAGCGGAGCAGGCGGATATAGACCGTCGACTGGCAGAAAAGAAAAAAGAAAAAGAATTAAAAAAGAGACAGAAAGAAGCAGAGATAAAAAAGAAAGCAGAGGAAGAAGAAAGGAAGTTTAAGAAAGAAATGCAGGAAAAGATAGAGACAGAACTGCATGATGAACTGCAGGCTTTAGACGAMGAAGAAGAAGAAGATAGAGAAGAACCATTGCAGAGATCTAGAAGACCGGAAAGAGGTGAGACAAGCAAAGAACGTGCTGTCAGGTTCGGACTTCCAGAAGCCGGTTGGGTCGAAGCCTTCGGCTATAGAACGCAGTTAACAATCGAGGACCCAGATGAGAGAGCTGCGTTTGGAAGGAAGGTGGAAGCTGTGAAAGATGAAGTTGAAAGAAAACT